GCAAGGACAGGACCTCCCCGCAAATGGCATCCGCCAGGTGCTTCGCTTGCTGGTCCAAAACAAAATTCTTCCGAATCTCCTTTTGTCGCACCAAAATGTGCCGCCGGACCCGCTCCCCGTATGTGGAGCGCAACTCGGGTCCAGATCGCTTCAAGACAAAGTTGTCAAAACCGCCGTCCCTCTCAACCTCAAACATCGCCGCCTCCACCATGGGCACCTGCACCCAGTGGCACAGCACGTCACTGTAGTGTATGCCGGTCTTCACGTAAGGGTACTTCAGTTGCCGATAGACGTTCTGAACCCCTCGAGAGGTTCGTACTCGCTCTCGAACGCGCTCATTAAGCCAAATGACATCCATTTCATGCGGGGCCTTTGGCAGAAGGGTGCGCGGGGCCACGCCGCTCATACGGTAAAGCGAATAGCGGTTGATTTTGTTGCACCACGCCGCCCACGGGGGGAGCCCCATGGACACATATCGATTGATGAGACCGCGCGGAGGACCGTGCGGTGCGACGGTGGTCTCGGGGTTCAGTGCGAACGTTGAAAACAGACGTCTGCCAGTGCCCTGCAGCATCCCCACTCCTACAATGATCACGCCTGTTCCCACACACCGGGAGAGAGAAACGGAAGGGTGGGGGGTGCGAGAGGAGCAATAGCAACAAGAGCACATCACAAAATATGCCGTCCTTCTCCGTTTCGGACTCTGTCATCACAAGTAACGCAGCCGGAAAAAAGATCGCGGCGGCAGCCCGCCCCCCTGTTACTCTCGGCGCTCTGTAGGCATCACACATATGCGCCGCCATCTGTTCATCTCAAAGATAACCACCCCCAAAACAGCAAAAAGGAAATCTCAAAAAATTAACAAATAAACCGGAAGCGCCCGCTTCCCTCTTCCTCCCCTATGCGGAGAAAATCGACAAATTAACAAAACACCATGGACCCAGAAACAAAATAGGCAATAAAAAAATATAGACCAAACGGCTTATGGACGAGGAAATCGAACAAGTGGCATCTGCAGTGGGAAAGGGGCGTAGCCGCATATAGATCCATCCGGCAGCGAAACCGGAACCACAACAACCCCGCCAAAGGCCGCAAACGCCGGACACGCCGTCCCGCCAAGCGGCTTTGGGGGTTCCTGCGGCATTGCTGTCGTGGCCCTCAGAGCCCCACTGTGTGACCTTGTAGCCGAGGAGGAGTAGTTGTTGACGGATGATGGCAGGGCAGCCAGCAACTCACGCTTCCCTTCCTTTGAATTCAAATCCAATGGTCCGCCAGAGACATTGGGCTTTGGCAGCTCTTCCACGCATCGGTTCGCGATGCCAAAACAGTGGCCGACGGATGCCTTCGTCACACTCGGGTCAGCCAAATGCCCCTGCGAAGGCGCCAAGTGATGATAGAGACACCGTGAACCAAACTTGCACGCACCATTTTCCCAAAACTGCTTGCACGTCTTTCTGTTTCGCTCCACGCACGGCTTGACGGGCAGAGAGCGGACCGAACCGTCGCCACTTTCCCACGCGGCTTCTTTGCCTCCATGTGAGTCCTGAATTCCCGGCAGCATCGCCGTCATGCGGGGACCCTCCTCACCATTTCCCCGCCTTCCCCCAGCTATTCGCGTCGCGTATGTTTGCATCTGTTCCATGGTGTGGTGTGACCGACGCATGTCCACCGCCAGAGACGCTTCCCAAAGTGATGCTGCCGTGTAATCAGCAAGCGCGCGGGTGGCGTCCTCGGTTGTGAAAAAATCGCAGCGCGACGGAAAAGACGCACGGAGAAATGCCTCCAAGTCAACAGCAACGGTTGGCTCCTTCATGACAAAGGCACACGCGCCAAAATGCGTGTATGTGTGCGTGTGTCCTCGTTCTTCTCGTGGGGCGCGGATGCCTGAGAGGAGAGCGTGAGCAGACAGAGCGCAGCACCTTGTGACTGCACCTTCCCCCCTTTTCACTGTCCTCGTCGCGTGCATCCATGGGCCATGGAAGAGGTCCATTACTTCTTGCCGCCCTTAAGCTTAGCGATGGCCTCCTTCTCGGCCCTCTGCTGTTCACGCATCCTTTGTTTAAAAGCAATGTCCGCCTCGTCGTCATCCAGGCGCTCCTTCTTGGGAGCCTTGAGAGGCTTCTGCTTGCCGCCCTGACGGGAGGACATTGTGGGGGGATGTCTTCGTTGTGGCTGGAGCGGTCGCTTGCGCAGAACAAAGATGAGAGGAAGAAGACAACAAGAGAAATTGCACACCCACACGCACATATATTTATTTATATTTATATATGCTCGTTAAGCGTTTTGCAGAAACAAACACGCTCGGAAATAATACAGTTGCAGAATGTGCACCTGGGCCGCTAGCCAGTTCCTGAATTTAGCAATAGTGGTAGCCAAACAAAGTGGGTATAATAAAGGAACGGACGAAACAATATTGGACACGCTTCATCCTCAAAGTTCCGCACCAAGTATAAATAAAAATGAAATAATTGAAGTCCTCTAGACTTTATTGGATCCCTGATTCCCAGAATCGCGATCAGCCAAAAAAAAAAACATAAAGTAGGAAAAAAAGGTCGTACAGAGTTAGCTTTATCGGAATACATAAATATCAAATTAGATACTCCGCTTACCCCGCGAAATTTCTCTTCGCAATCTCCTAGAAAGGGAAGTCAATGCATGCATCTATTATCACGGCAGGAATGCGACACAAGTATTAACTTATCTATATTTCAGGCAACTTTTATACCAACATGCACGCTTCCACTAATAATACAACAAAATATTTTAAAACAAAATATGCGTTAAGAAAATCAAAACCAAAAATAATGCACTGACATTCAATCACTGCTTGATTCGGCAGGGCCCAATGCGAATAGCCGCAGCGCGCCGGCTTGCATGAAAACTTCAAAATCGTATCTTCTCGTAGGACACTCAACTCCCGGGAAAGGAGCACTCATAGACTGCCCACCCTGAATGGAAACCTTGTTAATAAAGCCTGTCCAGGTTACTGTTTCTTCCTCCACCAATTTCTCCGGCGCCACCACTTCTTCGCCTGGTTGAATGAGCAATTCCACAGTCTCCTGGGGCAGTTCGTTCGGCATGGTATAGTCAACAAGCACCGTCACAGGAATCGTGGTGGTGTTCCTTATGAGGGCGGAGTACACGACCTTAGGAGCTCCCATTTTGGCAGTTGGAAGAACGGACGATTGAATGTAATGCAAAAACCTAAAATGCCATGCATAGCAGTAAAAAAATGTGCGTGCGTGCACACAAAAAAAGAGAGAACAAGGCACATGACAGAAAAAAGGGAAAAGTGAACTCCACAACAATGAGAGAGGGGAAAAGACACACCAGCAAACTCCTCCAAACCCTCCCTCCCTTGTTGTGATACGGACGCGGGAAAAGGTCAAGAGAGGAAAGCATGGAGAACAGCAAAAAACGGAAGCTATTTGCGGCATGACCTCCCCTCAACCAGACACGTTCATGCATCGCAACTCGACCCCCTCCCCGTCGCCTGCAAGTAATATCGTTCAGCGAGGAACCAATTGCACGCCCTAAAGTAGTTTTGTGCGTACTGCTCCAGTCCCGAAGGACCGTAGTCGAGGGAATAGGCGCCTTCATGCACGTTAATCGCCAGGAGTGGGATGAGATCACTGCCAATGGGGCACGCACCGTGAGGAAACTCCACGACATCAAACTGCTTTCCTGTCCAGACAAGGTAAACCCAACCACAACGCTCTTGGTGCGAGAGAACCACGACCGTGAACAGCCGCTTCACCTCCTCCACCACATCTACCGATCCGTCGCGGCCGTATTGCAACTGAAAAGCCTCGCGAAGTTGTTTTGGCACCGCCGTTCCCCATGGCCGAAGCGACTTGTAAAAGAAACAATAGTTGAAGTGCTCGGCCGCCGCGGTGTGCACCGCTGCCTGCGTGGCATCAAACGACGCTCTACGTATGACGGTCTCAAGACTGTGCCCCTCCAGTGAGGTGCCTAACGTGTGCCGGTTGAGCGTCGCCACCGCATCGTGGTGAAAGATATTGTACTGCACATCGAACTGTCGCCTGGAGATAAATGCCGGAATGCCGGACGCGACTGGATAGTTCAGTCGAGGCCGGCTAAAAAAGCCTGCATAATCATTCGCCCTGTCCGCACGTTCTGCCGCGGCCTCCGTCTCACGGAACACGGCCGTCACCAATTGGGGCGAAGATGCGAGCATGTCTGTTTTGAGAAGCGCGCCCTTTGGAACGTAGGCATGGTAGCCATGACGTAACGTCCGGCGCATTTGCTGCACAATTCCCTTCGCGTGCCTTTCTACATGCCCAGAAGAAAGACGGAGAGGCCCGGATGGGCAGCAACAGCATTCACGCAAATGCGTCCAGAGAGAACAGAAAAAAAGAGGCATAGGCAGCAACAGCAGCAAAAACATCCCATGAGTTATCCATCCCCACGCATGCGGGGAAAAGAAGAGCCCCTTCTTCGCCTCTCTACCATCAAATTTCTTTCCCTCCACCGCCATTCCCTCCTCCGTCGCCACCGTCTCATGGCAATGGCTCCTCCGCCGTCACGGCTACAGCATTCGCCTTCTCCTTTCGCGCGACGACGATGCGCGCCAGCTCCTCCAGGAATCGTTTCTTCTCAATCCCGTACTTCGCCAGCACCGCCTCAGCTGCACTTTCATCCCGCAAGGACAGGACCTCCCCGCAAATGGCATCCGCCAGGTGCTTCGCTTGCTGGTCCAAAACAAAATTCTTCCGAATCTCCTTTTGTCGCACCAAAATGTGCCGCCGGACCCGCTCCCCGTATGTGGAGCGCAACTCGGGTCCAGATCGCTTCAAGACAAAGTTGTCAAAACCGCCGTCCCTCTCAACCTCAAACATCGCCGCCTCCACCATGGGCACCTGCACCCAGTGGCACAGCACGTCACTGTAGTGTATGCCGGTCTTCACGTAAGGGTACTTCAGTTGCCGATAGACGTTCTGAACCCCTCGAGAGGTTCGTACTCGCTCTCGAACGCGCTCATTAAGCCAAATGACATCCATTTCATGCGGGGCCTTTGGCAGAAGGGTGCGCGGGGCCACGCCGCTCATACGGTAAAGCGAATAGCGGTTGATTTTGTTGCACCACGCCGCCCACGGGGGGAGCCCCATGGACACATATCGATTGATGAGACCGCGCGGAGGACCGTGCGGTGCGACGGTGGTCTCGGGGTTCAGTGCGAACGTTGAAAACAGACGTCTGCCAGTGCCCTGCAGCATCCCCACTCCTACAATGATCACGCCTGTTCCCACACACCGGGAGAGAGAAACGGAAGGGTGGGGGGTGCGAGAGGAGCAATAGCAACAAGAGCACATCACAAAATATGCCGTCCTTTCTCGTTTCGGACTCTGTCATCACAAG